TCCTGTCTCACTGTGTTGTCCTGTCTCACTGTGTCCTCCTGTCTCACTGTGTCCACCTGTCTCACTGTGCCCTCCTGTCTCACTGTGTTCTCCTGTCTCACTGTGTCCTCCTGTCTCACTGTGTCCTCCTGTCTCACTGTGTCTTCCTGTCTCACTGTGTCTTCCTGTCTCACTGTGACTTCCTGTCCCACTGTGTCCTCCTGTCTCACTGTGTCCTCCTGTCTCACTGTGTCCTCCTGTCTCACTGTGTCCTCCTATCTCTGAGTTTTTAGCTGGACTAAATGATAATCAGATCCAGATCCAGTCAGAAGTCCCGTCCCAGGTCTCTTGATGTTTGTCTCTTGGTGTCTCTCTGTTGGTTGTCTCTGCAGGGCCGCCCTGGACCAAAGGGAGATCCCGGTGATGGTGGTCTGCCTGGACAGAAAGTAAGTTTAGCTCTGGAAACAGATAATTCATGTTTTGACTTCTGCTCTGGACTCGAGCCACAAGCTGCAGAAACGTCTCCAGCTGCTGCAGACTGAGACGAGCCGAAGGTCTGAGTCTGTCGGCTGCTGAACGTCCTGAACGTTCTTTAAATCTGAACTGCAGCTCAGGAGGAGCCAGAGTGATGTCTGAATGATGAAGAGCTCTGATTAGATAAAGAGGAGCAGCAGGAAAACTTTCGGCTCTTTGATTCAACTCTGTGCAAGACTAAGAAAGTCTGACAGGTGAGCTCACATGTTCTCTGGTGTTTCCAGGGTTCTATAGGTCCTCCTGGTCCTCCCGGCCCGATCGGACCAGCAGGAGTGAGGGTGAGTACAGACCAGCATCTCTGAGGTCTTCAAAGAGAAGAACGTGGTTTTAGGATGGATCTGGTGTTTTCAGGGACCTGCAGGGAAGGAAGGACCAACTGGACTCAGAGGACCAGCTGGACCAATGGTGAGACTTTAAACACACAGAACCAGAGCCAGCAATTAGAACCCATAAGAAAGCTGATCTTTGGGTTCTGTGTTTCCCTGCAGGGACCTCCAGGAACTCCTGGAATATCAGGACCTGCAGGAAAACCCGGGAACCCTGGAGACTCTGGTCCTCCTGTGAGTGTCCCAGCTTCATGGTGCGTTCAGGAACCAACCTGCTGGTTCTGTTGGATTAATGGGTTTTTTTGTTTGTTTGTTTTTTTATTCAGGGAGCTATTGGACCCAAAGGAGACAAAGGAGAACGGGTGTGTGAACCTGAACCATTTCTTTAAGCTTTCATCTCTCAGTTTCAGCTTCTTCTGTAAATTTTAGCACTCAGCGTTCCCACAGAATTAAATTATATAAATTGTACAATTAATTATAGATTATAATTATAGAATTAAATTAATCTCTGCTGTTTCTCACTGTTCTCTCTGCTCCCAGGGTGACTTCGCTCCACAGAACATGATGAGGTCCATCGCCAGACAAGTCTGCTCGCAGCTTGTTAGTGGTGAGTGTTTCAGCTCGTTAGCAGTGAATGTTTCAGCTCATTTAAGGTAAATGTTTCAGCTCATTAGTGGTGAGTCTTTCAGCTCATTAGTGGTGAGTGTTTCAGCTCATTAGTGGTGAGTGTTTCAGCTTATTAGTGGTGAGTGTTTCAGCTCATTAGCAGTGAGTGTTTCAGCTCGTTAGTGGCGAGTGTTTCAGCTCATTAGTGGTGAGTGTTTCAGCTCATTAGTGGTGAGTGTTTCAGCTCATTAGTGGTGAGTGTTTCAGCTCATTAGCAGTGAGTGTTTCACCTCGTTAGTGATGAGTGTTTCAACTCATTAGTGAGAGTTTCAACTTGTTAGCAGTGAGTGTTTCAGCTCGTTAAAGGTAAATGTTTCAGCTCAATAGTGGTGAGGGTTTCAGTTCATTAATGGTGAGTGTTTCAGTTTATTAGCAGTGAGTGTTTCAGTTCATTAATGGTGAGTGTTTCAGTTCATTAATGGTGAGTGTTTCAGTTCATTAGTGGTGAGTGTTTCAGTTTATTAGCAGTAAGTGTTTCAGTTCATTAGTGGTAAGTGCTTCAGCTCATGAAAGGTGACTGTTTCACCTCGTTAGTGATGAGTGTTACAGCTCTATAGTGGTTAGTGTTTCAACTCATTAGTGAGAGTTTCAACTTATTAGCAGTGAGTGTGTCAGCTCATTAAAGGTAGCTGTTTCCGCTCAATAGTGGTAAGTGTTTCAGCTCATTGAAGGTGAATGTTTCAGCTCAATATTGGTATGTGTTTCAGCTCATTAAACATGTCAGTATCAGCTTGTTAGCAGTGAGTGTTTCCTCTGGTTAGTGGTGAGTGTTTCAGCTCATTATTGATGAGTGTTTTAACTCGTTAACAATGAGTGTTGTTTCAGCTCATTAAATGTAACTGTTTCAGCTCAATATTGGTATGTGTTTCAGCTCATTAGTGGTGAGTGTTTCAGCTCATTATTGAGTGTTTCAACTCGTTAGCAGTGAGTGATTCAGCTCATTAAATGTAACTGTTTCTGCTCAATAATAGTGGTATGTGTTTCAGCTTGTTAGTGGTGAGTGTTTCGCTTCATTAAACGTGTCAGTATCAGCTTGTTAGCAGTAAGTGTTTCCTCTTGTTAGTGGTGAGTGTTTCAGTTCATTATTGATGAGTGTTTCAGCTCTAGAGTGGTGAGTGTTTCAGCTTGTTATTAGTGAGTGTTTTAACTCGGTGACAGTGAGTGTTTCAGCTCGTTAAATGTAACTGTTTCAGCTCCTTAGAGGTGAGTGTTTCAGCTCATTGAAGGTGACTGTTTCAGCTCAATATTGATGTGTTTCAGCTCGTTAGTGGTGAGTGTTTTAGTTCATTAGTGAGTGTTTAAACTCGTTAGAGGTGAGTGATTCAGCTCATTAAATGTAACTGTTTCAGTTCAATATTGGCATGTGTTTCAGCTCATTAGTGGTGAATGTTTCAGTTCATTAGTGGTGAGTGTTTCAGCTCATTAGTGGTGAGTGTTTCAGTTCATTTGTGGTGAGTATTTCCGCTTGTTAAAGGTGAGTGTTTCAGCTCATTAGTGAGTGTTTCAACTTGTTAGCAGTGACTGTTTCAGTTCATTAAAGGTAACTGTTTCATCTCAATAGTGGTATGTCTTTCAGCTCATTAGCAGTGAGTGTTTCAGCTCATTAGTGGTAAGTGTTTCAGCTCAGTGAAGGTGACTGTTTCAGCTCAATATTGGTATGTGTTTCAGCTCGTGAGTATTTCAGGTCATTATTGGTGAGTGTTTCAGTTCATTAAAGGTGACTGTTTCAGCTTGTTAGTTGTGTGTGTTTCAGCTCATCAAATGTGACAGTATCATCTCGTTAGCAGTGAGTGTTTCAGTTCATTAAAGGTGACTGTTTCAGTTCATTAGTGGTAAGTGTTTCAGCTGATTAGTGGTGAGTGTTTCAGTTTCTTATTAGTGAATGTTTCAACTCGTTAGTAGTGAGTTTTTCAGCTCATTAAAGGTGACTGTTTCAGCTCAATATTGGTGAGTATTTCAGCTCGTTATTGGTGGGTATTTCAACTCGTTAGCAGTGAGTGTTTCAGATCATAAACCATGACTGTTTAAGTTTGTTAGTGGTAAGTGTTTCAGCTCGTGATTGGTGAGTGTTTTAACTTGTTAGCAGTGAGTGTTTCAGCTCATAAATGGTGACAGTGCAGTTTGTTAGTGTTGTGTTTCAGTTCATTAGCACTGAGTGTTTCAGCTCAATATTGGTATGTGTTTCAGCTTATTAGTGGTGAGTGTTTCAACTCATTATCAGTGACTGTTTTAGCTTGTTAAATTTGACTGTTTCAGCTTGTTAGCAGTGAGTGTTTCAGCTCGTTAGCAGTGAGTGTTTCAGCTCGTTAGCAGTGCATGTTTCAGCTCATTAGCTGGGAGTGTTTCAGCTCATTTTAGGTGATGGTTTCAGCTCATTAGCAGTGACTGCTTTAGTCCATTAGCAGTATCTTTTTCACCTCATTAGTCGTGACTGCCTTAACCCCTTGGCTGTGGCTGTTTCAGCTCATTATCAGTGACTACTTAAGCCTTTTATTATTGACTGTTTCAGCTTGTTAGCCGTGACTGCTTTAGCCCATTAGCAGTAACAGTTTCAGCTCATTAGCAGTGACTGATGTAACCCCTTAGCAGTGACTGTTTCAGCTCGTTAGTGGTGACTGCTTTAACCCGTTTGCAGTGAGTGTTTCAGTTCATTAGCTGTGGCAGTTTCAGCTCATTAGCGGTTACTGTTTAAGCTTGTTAGCATGACTGTTTTAGTCTATTGGCAATGACAGTTTCTACTTATTAGGGATGACTGCTTTAGCTTATTAGCAAGGACTGTTTCAACTCATTAGCATTGAATTTTTCTGCTATTTAGTTGAAAGTGCTTTCGTCTGTTAGCAGAAACTGTTTTAGCTCATTAGCTGTGAGTGTTTCAACTCATTAAAGTGACTGTTTCATCTCATTAGCAGTGAGTGTTTCAGCTTGATAGCAGTGAATGTTTCAGTTCATTAAATGAGTGTTTCAGCTTGTTAGCGGTGAGTATTTCAGCTCGTTAGTAGTGATTTTTTCATCTCATTAAACGAGAGTGTTTCAGCTTGATAGCTGCAACTGTTAAAGGTGACTGTTTCAGCTCATTAACAGTGAGTGTTTCAGCTTGTTAGCAGTGACTGTTTCAGTTCATTAGCAACAACATTTTCTACTCATTATCAGTGACTGCTTTAGCCTATTACCAAGGACTGGTTTAGCTCATTAGCATTGACAGTAGCAGCTCATTAACGGAGCCTGCTTTTGCTCATTAGCCATCTGTAGCCTTTGTGATTTGAGTTGTAATGCTCCTTTTATTTCTCTGTTTCAGATCAAATGTCTCGTGTCAGCTCGTTAATGAACCAGATCCCTAATGGCCAGTACCGCAGCAATAACCCGGGCCCTCCTGGACCTCCGGGACCTCCGGGACCTCCTGGCAGGCAGGGACCCAGTGGAGAACCGGGTCAGGCAGGAAGGAATGGTTTTCCTGGAAGCTCTGGTTTACCGGGCCAGCAGGGAGAGAGAGGTACTGAACACAGAGTTGAGACTCATCAAAGAATTTTTTTCTTTGTGCTGAAAAACAAAAGATAGTTTTGAATTGAAACAGAACTTGACATTAGAACCTGGACCTGCAAAAGAACTGAACTCAACTTCTGACTTTGTGACGGGTTTAGGTCCCGCAGGAGAAAAGGGTGAACGAGGACTTCCAGGAGTGGGACAGAAAGGATCCCGGGGCCCTCCAGGTACGTCACAAACCTTCAAACTTCATTCGTTTTATTAGGGCCATGGTACGAACTCTGGGTCCTAACCTGAACTCTGAGTTCTGGTCTAAACCCTTGGTCCTGGTCTAAACTCTGGTTTCTGATCAGAACTCTGGGTCTTGGTCTGAACTCTGGGTCCTGGTCTAAACTCTGGTTTCTGGTCCAAAATCTGGGTCCTGGTCCTACCTCTGGTTTCTGGTCAGAACTCAATGAATTGTGGGTAATGTACTTCACCGAAGTCCGTAAAAATGCAGACTTTGCGGAAGGGCGGAAATAGTACTCAAAATGGGCGGGGCGAAGGGCGGATGTGGAGAATGTGGGGGACACTACGCACTCAAACCCTTCAACATGAACGCGCATTTTAAGTCCACAAGGGTGGAACGAGGGTGGGAGTGTGGGTATTGAGACAGGGCCTGTTCCTCTGCTCTAGCTTTCCCTTTAAAGCTCTTAAAGGATCCATCAGTTTCCCGTCTGCAGACAGAAAATATTCAACTTCATTCTTTCAGTGTTTTTAATTATTTTACTGTTTTGATGTTTTCCTGTTGCAGTGAATCCTCCAATCACAGCCTCTGATTTCCCTCCAGGTCCCCCAGGAGAGAGCAGGACAGGACCCCCAGGTTCTCCAGGTACTGCCGGATCTCGGGGTCCACCTGGACGTGCAGGTTACACCGGAGTCCGTGGGCCTCCAGGACCTCCTGGGTACTGCGACTCCTCTCAGTGTGTCGGCATTCCTTACAACGGTCAGGGATACATCGGTACGTACAACATCGGGTCTAAAGGAGGAGCGCTCTTCTCTGACAAAGACTGTGGGTCCAGGAGGTGACCGGGCCGGGTCAGGGTTAGACGGTACCTGATGTTGTAGAGAGCTTTTTGAACAATGAAGGTTCAGAGAAATAGTTTGGTTCTGACAGAACTGATGAGCTAATGGCTAGTCAGAGCGGAGATGTTTCCAGTTTGACATGATTGGACAGAAATATCACAATAATCCTGGAGGAACTGCTACAGCCAGCTGCTGCCGCTACTGCTGCTGTTTTTTGTGCTTGTAAAGAATTGTGATGTAACATTTTTTAATGTTTTTTAAAGACTAGCCATTAGCTCATCAGTCCTGTCAGATTCAAACTAGCCCTACCGGTCCCATCTGAATTGTCCCTTTATTACAACATGAAGTTTCTTCTGTAAAACAATATAAAGAGTACAAAAATACAAATGTTTTTCCAGTTTTATCACTATCTTACCTGCAGAAGACAGAGTAGTTTCAGTTTGGAGAATAGGGGCGGAGTCAAGGTGACAGCCAATCATACAAGAACCAATAAGGAGAGAACTTACATCAAAGCAATGGACTGATGTTGTTTACCACAATGTGTTTATGACTCATTTTACACAGATTGTGTTTGTAAACAAACCGCAGGTCTGGTTCTGAGAGGTGTTCCAGAAAGGAGGTTTATCGAAATGTTAAGTTGGGAACAAAATCTTTTCAGTAAGATGTATTCATAAAAAGAGCCTGCTTTCTGGAATCCCTCCTGGTCCAGGAAGTCTGCAGAGTCCAGAGTGCCTGTTTTTATGTGTCACATTATTCTGTCCTGATTGGTTCTGCTCTGATTAGCCGTTAGCTCAACTCCAGTCTGAGATCACTCTGTCTGCTACAGGTAAGACACTTTCTCCTGGACCCACACTCTGAGGTTACTGCATGTGTGACCCTTGTGACCTCACTGACCCCTCCATCCTGTTTCAGGTTCTCCATAGTAACCTTTTAATGCCGCCTGCGCTGCGTTCACTGACCTCCTGAAAACACAAACACTCCAACACTGAGCTGTTTGAAGAATAACAACTACCGCTGGCAAAGGAAACCACTAACACAGCTGCCGCACTGATGACAACAACAAACAAACAACAACAAAAAACACTAACTGAGGTGGACTAACAACAACAACAGCAAACAACACCAACCAAGGTGGACTAACAACAACAACAAACACTAACAGAGGTGGACTAACAACAACAACAGCAAACAACACCAACCAAGGTGGACTAACAACAACAACAGCAAACAACACCAACCAAGGTGGACTAACAACAACAACAAACACTAACAGAGGTGGACTAACACTAGCAGTGGTCTCCAGTTGTTTAACATGGGTGTTCTGTGGAATTTGGTCGCTCCTGTGGATGTTTGTCTCATTGTGGACCGAACCACTGCAGGAACTGTTCACACATTTTTAAGTGAGGGAACTTAAGATAAGATAAGATAAGATAAGATAAGATAAGATAAGATAAGATAAGATAAGATAAGATAAGATAAGATAAGATGTTTTATTGTCCTGAAGGAAATTTGTCTTGGGGACAGACCCTGACTGCTACACAGATCATAACAACCCACAGCAGTCACATTACATTCCCACACAAAACACACATTTTACAATAAATATATTTCAAGAGAAATAAATACATAAAAGAAGCATGTCAATACAGGTTAAAATCTAACTTTTCAATTTTGAAGTGAGGGAACTTGTCTTAGTTCGATCTTTGAAGTGAAGGAACTTGTTGTGGATTGATCTTTGAAGTGAGGGAACTTGTCATAATTTGATCTTTGAAGTGAGGGAACTTGTGGATCGATTTTCTTAAGTGAGGGAACCTGTCATAGATCTATCTTTGAAGTGAGAGACTTTTAGATTTGAAGTGAGGAAACTTTTAGATTAATATTTAAAGTGAGGGAACTTGTCGTATTTTGATCTTTAAAGTGAGGGAACTTGTCATACTTTAATCTTTGAAGTGAGGGAACTTGTCATGAATTGGTCTTTGAAGTGAGGGAACTTTAAGATCAATCTTTGAAGTGAAGGAACTTGTCGTATTTTGATCTTTAAAGTGAGGGAAATTGTCATACTTTAATCTTTGAAGTGAGGGAACTTTTAGATCAATCTTTGAAGTGAGGGAACTTGTAATGGATCAATCTTTGAAGTGAGGGAACTTGTAATGGATCAATCTTTGAAGTGAGGGAACTTGTAATGGATTGATCTTTGAAGTGAGAGAACTTGTAATGGATCAATCTTTGAAGTGAGGGAACTTGTAATGGATTGATCTTTGAAGTGAGAGAACTTGTCGTGGATCAATCTTTGAAGTGAGGGAACTTGTCATGGATCAATCCTTGAAGTGAGGGAACTTGTCTTACTTTAATCTTTGAAGTGAGGGAACTTGTCGTGGATCAATATTTGAAGTGAAGGAACTCGTCATACTTTAATCTTTGAAGTGAGAGAACTTGTCATGGATCAATCTTTGAAGTGAGAGAACTTGTCATGGATCAATCTTTGAAGTGAGGGAACTTGTCATGGATCAATCTTTGAAGTGAGGGAACTTGTCATGGATCAATCTTTGAAGTGAGGGAACTTGTCATGGATTGATCTTTGAAGTGAGGGAACTTGTCGTGAATCAATCTTTGAAGTTAGGGAACTTGTCATACTTTAATCTTTGAAGTGAGGGAACCTTTAGATCAGTCTTTGAAGTGAGGGAACTTGTCGTGGATTGATCTTTGAAGTGAGGGAACTTGTCTTGGATTAATCTTTGAAGTGAGGGAACTTGTACTTTAATCTTTGAAGTGAGGGAACTTTTAGATCAGTCTTTGAAGTGAGGGAACTTGTCGTGGATCGATCTTTGAACTAATCAGTTTAGAAAATTTTTAATATTGACCTCACTGATGAGCTAATGGCTAGCCTGAACAGAAATTAGAACAAATCCATCTACAACAGATAAGATATTAGTTGTTCCACAGAGCTTCACTTCAAAATGTCTGAAATATCCCTTTAGAGTGTGTTTAGTATGTAATCACCTGACTTACACCTGGTGAATAGGGGGCGGTGTTTCTTCTCAGTGTTTAACTCTTTTATTTTCCTTCACCTGCTCCTCTCTGCTGGAATTATTCAAAACCAGAAGAGGATCAGAGCTTCAGGAAGTAAAACCAACTGTTAGACACTGACGTCCCGCCCTCTCTCCTGGGGCCCCGCCCCTGTTGTTCACTAACACCCGTCAGTCAAACTGCAGCTAACACGCTCTGCTCTGCATGCTGAAACAGAACCAAAGTTTTCCAATCTTACAGTCAAATGGACCAAACACTATCTTTGATCAGGAACCCGGGTCGTCTCGGCCCACCAGGAGGACCACCTGCTGCAGAACCAGCGCCGAAAGAGGTCTCTACCAGAACCGGTGTCAGACCGGAAAACATCCTAGAGCATCTGGGTCGTCAGTGTTAGAAACCTGTGTTAGTTTGTTTGTATGTTTGTTTGTTTATTCAGGTTTGAAACCTGCGAGTTATCAAAAACAAACCTTTACGTGTTTGTGAAGATTTGTTTATGTGGTGGTGATGGGTTGGCAGGGGGGCGGGGCATCTGGGGGGGGGTGGAGTTAGAACCAATTAAAACCTGTGAGCTTTTCTCCTACATGCCTGTAAAATATTTGCATTGAGTTTAAACTTACAACCTTTATTGTTTATCTCTAAACTTTAATATTTATCAGTTTGCCTTCATTCTGTCGCAGCTCATTTTACCAAAAGGTGGAAAAACCTCTGTCTGTGGATTTTATTTACTTCATGTTTTAATTTTAATCAGATGTTTCAGTTTTAGCTGCAGACTGTCAGCTCCACAGACTGATTTTCTTATTTATTTCTGAAAGCAGAGGAGGCCTTTTTCAATAAAACTACTGAAAAACACAACCGGAGTCTGACTCTGTTTGGAGGGAGGGAAGTGGGGGACTGAGAGGTCCAGGAGCCAAACCAAGATTGGGTTTGAGACTTCCTGCTTGTCCAGCATCACAGGTAATAAATCATATTGTCAGAAATTACTCTGATAAACTAGAATATCCAAGCTATTTTTTGATGCTACTGGGGATAGTTTAATGCATTTTTATTAGATGTTGGATGTAAATTGGCTAGTAAAATAAAAGYGTGTGATGACAAAGTAAATAGGTTTGATAGTATCATTAAAAATAACAAAAATACTGTGTTCTTCCGGGGTATTGATGAAAAAGAATTAATTGAGATGGTAAGAAAATTTAAAAATAAAATAACAGCTGATATGAATTCGGTAGATATGGTGATTTTTAAAGAAGTCATCAGTGAAATTGCAGGACCTTTAACATGTAGGTGCTGGTCATAAAATTAGAATATCATGAAAAAGTAGATTTATTTCAGTAATTCCATTTAAAAAGTGAAACTTGTATATTATATTCATACATTACATACAAACTCATATATTTCATATGTTTATTTCGTTTAATTTTGATGATTACAAATGACAACAAATGAAAATCTCAAATTCAGCATATCAGAAAATTAGAATCTTGTGAAAAGGTTCAAAATGGATGGCACCTGGTACCACACTCTAATCAGCTAATTAACTCAAACCACCTGCAAAGGCCTTTAAATGGTCTTTCAGTCTAGTTCTATAGGCTACACAATCATGGGGAAGACTGCTGACTTGACAGTTGTCCAAAAGACGACCATCGACACCTTGCACAAGGACGGCAAGACACAAAAGGTCATCGCTAAAGAGGCTGGCTGTTCACAGAGCTCTGTGTCCAAGCACATTAATAGAGAGGCGAAGGGAAGGAAAAGATGTGGTCGAAAAAAATGTACAAGCAAGAGAGATAACCGCACCCTGGAGAGGATTGTGAAACAAAACCCATTCAAAAATGTGGGGGAGATTCACAAAGAGTGGACTGCAGCTGGAGTGAGTGCTTCAAGAACCACCACACACAGACGTATGAAAGACATGGGTTTCTGCTGTCGCATTCCTTGTGTCAAGCCACTCTTGAACCACAGACAGCGTCAGAAGCGTCTTGCCTGGGCTACAGAGAAACAGGACTGGACTGCTGGTGAGTGGTCCAAAGCCATGTTCTCTGATGAAAGTAAATTTTGCATTTCCTTTGGAAATCAAGGTCCCAGAGTCTGGAGGAAAAGAAGAGAGGCACTTCATCCACGTTGYTTGAAGTCCAGTGTAAAGTTTCCACAGTCAGTGATGGTTTGGGGTGCCATGTCATCTGCTGGTGTTGGTCCATTGTGTTTTCTGAGGTCCAGGGTCAACGCAGCCACATACCAGGAAGTTTTAGAGCACTTCATGCTTCCTGCTGCTGACCAACTTTTTGGAGATGCAGATTTCATGTTCCAACAGGACTTGGCACCTGCACACAGTGCCAAAGCTACCAGTACCTGGTTGAAGGACCATGGTATCCCTGTTCTTAATTGGCCAGCAAACTCTCCTGACCTTAACCCCATAGAAAATCTATGGGGTATTGTGAAGAAGAAGATGCAATACACCAGACCCAACAATTCAGAAGAGCTAAAAGCCACTATTAGAGCAACCTGGGCTATCATAACACCTGAGCAGTGCCACAGACTGATCGACTCCATGCCACGCCGCATTGCTGCAGTAATACAGGCCAAAGGAGCCCCAACTAAATACTGAGTGCTGTACATGCTCATACTTTTCATGTTCATACTTTCAGTTGGCCAACATTTCTATAAATCCTTTGTTTTTATTGGTCTTCAGTAATATTCTAATTTTCTGATATGCTGAATTTGAGATTTTCATTTGTTGTCATTTGTAATCATCAAAATTAAACGAAATAAACATTTGAAATATWTGAGTTTGTATGTAATGTATGAATATAATATACAAGTTTCACTTTTTAAATGGAATTACTGAAATAAATCTACTTTTTCATGATATTCTAATTTTATGACCAGCACCTGTATATGTAACTTGTCTTTCCAAAAGGGTGTGTTTCCAATCAATATGAAAATAGCAAAGGTCATACCAATATTTAAACATGGAGATAAACATAGTATTGAAAATTACAGACCAGTATCCCTTCTACCGCAGTTCTCAAAAAATATTAGAGAAATTATTTGCAAAACAACTAGATTTATTTATTGACAAATATAATATATTAAGTGAACATCAGTATGGCTTCAGGAAGAATAGAACTACTTCATATGCAGTAATTGAGATAGTAGAAGAAATAACAAATGCAATTGAAAATGAGGAACTTTCTGTTGGAAAATATATTGATTTACAAAAGGCATTTGATATTATAGATTATGACATAGTGAGAAAATTGGAGAGATATGGGATACGAGGGGTGACATATTCTTGGCTTAAATGTTATTTGGAAAACAGACTTCAGTGTGTGGAAATGAACAAGACTGTGTCACAATTTAGAAGGGTTACATGTGGAGTACCACAGGGGTCTGTGATTGGACCAAAATTATTTATACTTTATATAGATGATATCTGCAATGTTACAAATTTATTAAAATTTGTTATTTTTGCAGATGACATTAATATGTATTCTGGAAAAAATGTAAAGGACCTATTACCTATAATTGAAATTGAATTAGAAAATCTTAAAACCTGGTTTGATGTCAACAGATTTTCACTTAAACAAAACTAAGTTCATGGTGTTCGGAAATCAAAAAGAAACTACTAGAGATTTGATATTAAAATATGTGATCCTGAGTGTCTGAAATAAAATTTTTAGGGATTATTGTTGATTCTAAATTAACATGGGGACAGCCTATTAAATATATAAAGGAAAAGACAGCAAAAACAATAACCATTCTGTATAAGTCTAGAAATTTATTAAATTACATGACTTCGCATAACACTTACTCTTCACTTATACTTCCATATATCTTATTGTGTGCAAGTGTTGGGTTCCACATACAAAACAACAATTAATGATAAAGTACTTTTACAAAAATGAGCCATATGTGTTATTAACAAGTCTGGTTACTATGAACATACAAATCCACTGTTTATTACAACTGGTATCATGAAGTTCCATTTTGGTTCATTACAAAATAATGCAAATAATGTTTAGAGCAAAATTAGGTGAGTTGCCTGTTGGGGTGCAAAGATTTTATAATATATGAATCTCAGGATGATCTGTGACACGTTGTTAAATTTATAAAACGACAAGCTAAAAAAGAAATAAAAAGGAGGTCTTTTTCTGTTGTAGGAATTAAAATATGGAATGATGCAAGCATGGACATACGAGAAGGGTTTTCAAAAAAGTTCTGAAAAGATATATATTTGAGGGTTACAAGTGAAAATAACTTTAAATTGTTATTGTATTTGTTTTGTTAAGTATTGTTTGTTTTCTTTGTTTTTTGTGTGTTTTTAGCAGTAATTATGAGGGGTAGTTTAGTTTAATTGGATGTGTAGGACAGGCATCAATCAATCAATAACTTTATTTTTGGTAAATCTTTCACATTAAACATTAAAAACAACAACAACAAACAAAACAGAGACAATAAACAAACTCATAATTTACCAAAAAAAAGGGAAAGGCTGAAGCCAAGCTTATTCTTGCCTACCCTATTTTATGCTCAACAACCTACCAAGATATAATATCTTCACAATACATAAATAAATCTACATAACAGCGTAAGATGTTTGCATTTTACATTTCAGAGCTCTTTTAAAGCTCACCAAAATAGCAAAGAACTTAAGATCATTTTTCAATTCATTCCACAGTTTCACACCAACAACTGATCACATCTGGACTTACCTGGCTCTTCTCTTTGGCACATTCAAGTATAAATAAACCTCGCAGATTATATTTATTCTCTCTTAACTTAAATAATTTCTGAATACCAAAAGGAAGACTTTTGTTCAATGCTTTATACATTATTTCCAGTATTTTTATATAAACAATGTCTTTAAATTTTAATATATTACTTCCAAGGAAGAGTTTATCAGTGCGTTCACGATATCCCACTTTATTAATAAGCCTTATAGCTTTTTTCTTCAACTTAACTAATACATCAATGTTTGTTTTACTTGCATTTCCCCAGATTTCTGAGCAGTGTGACAAATAAGGCAAAACCAAGGAGGAATGTATAATATGCAAACCCTTAATATTTATTAAATCTTTAATTTTAAACAATATTACAATAGTTTTTGCAACTTTATTTCTAATATATTCTATATGAGGCTACCAGCTGGCTTTATTGTCTCTAACAATTCCTAAAAATTTTGTCTCGTAAACTCTTTCAATTTCAACTCCATTTATACATAACTTTGCATTATTATGGATCTGATTACAGGAGAATACCATAAAATTAGTTTTCCCTTCATTTAATGACAACTACATACTAAATATAAGCCTTGTGCGTCTGCCTGTACCTTTTCAGTCAAAACGTTTACATTTTTGTATTGTTTTGTAACTGTTTGATTTGCTGTTGTTGCTGAACAGGTCAC